TAAGTTCGTACATATATATTAAGGTAGTACACTCACAAATTCAAAATATTGAGAATTTCTTGAAATTGAAACTATATGTTGTACTAGAAGTCGTTGACACGCTTGTGCAATTAGAATGAGATTGACCATCTCAATATACTGAGATATAAGCAATTAAAAATTGCATTTTTTATACGTGTTGCCCATACAAAGTCGATAAAAATGTCGCGTTTATTTTTGTAGGGGCTAAACTAATATTGAGATTTTAATAAAAAACGAGTATGTGATGAAGGGATATGAAACGGATATTATGAAAAAAATTCATTATTTTCTACCATTTAGTTTGGAAAATAGAGCCTTTTAAAAAATATAATTTTCGATTTTGATTGACATGGGCTACGGTCCGATTCACGCTCACAGCGCTATTATCGTACTTACGATTGGTCCGATTCGCTTCCTGAGCGTTTTCTGCAAGCGAAGTGACGTCACGAATTTATGACGTCGCGTGCTCACGGCGACCATGCTCAAGAGATGGGTCGGCGTGAGCATTTACGTCATTTGCACGACAAACGGATAACGGTCGGCAAACGGACGAGATATCACGCAGCTAGAGTATTGAAAGACATTTCAGTTTTAAGAGTATTAAAACATTTAATCGAAAATGAGTTGTGTGCCATTTAAAGTATACGTTGAAAATACTGGAAATGCTATGGAATTTCAATTAACACAAACAGAAGCTGCGAAAGTAGCTACAGCTGTTAGAAAAAATAAAATAAATATTAACTTTATAGAACTTTGCACAATTAAATATACTTTATTCGTTATTGCTATTTTCACTATTGTATTTTCCTCTTTGTATTTTCACTTTAAAGGTTATGTGTGATTATCTACAGGTTATGTGATCTGGGCCCCTATTCTGTAGCGGTCCGAAACGAAATTGTCGTTAATGCGCTCTGAGCATGCTAACAAATCGGACCAATCGTGAGCATTGTAAGTACAGTGAACGCTGCGAGCGTGAATCGGACCGTAGCCATGGAAGCAAGTGAAGAAGGCGGCCATTGAGCATCTGGCAACACCGCACTTCTCGCGTATATCGCGTTCGGTTCGGGACGTTCGAGGTTAGATATCGCACTCTATCTGACATATTTTAATCTACCTTGCAAATGATCAC